GAACTGGGACAGGACTGGTACTGGGACAGGCAAGTCCTGAAAAAGGGCTGGCGCTGAGATGGGCTGATCCTGGGACGGAGATGAACTGGAACGGGGCAGGCACTGGGATGGGGATGAACTGGGACAGGGTGGGTGGCAGCTGAAGCCCGGGCATGGCCGTGGGGTTTTGAGGCAAATTCACAGACGTTTGGGAAATGAAATGGAAATCCTTCCTGCTGGCATCCAGCGGATCGCGACCGCTCCGTCGCGCTGCCTCCCTCGCAGATGATTAATACAAAATATTTCCCCCTCTCCTCTGCATTTGTTTAACTTGTTTTTCTTCTCATCTCAGAATGTTATTTGCCTTGGCATTTGAATTTTGAAATAATAAAAGAAGTGGTGGTCGGGTTTTTTAATGACGCTTTGGGGTTGTTTTTTTTGCTGTGCTAAGCGAGGAAGGCACATGAGCGGGCCCCAAGCTGTGACAACTTAAATGGAATGGGATTTCAGGAAAGTAATAAATGAGATTTGAAATGGCTCATTTGAAATACACATCATAATATTCTTCATCCCTCGAGTGAAGCACATAAAATACCCGTCTTTAAAATCAGGCACAAAACAAATACATTTCTCACCTCATCTGTGTCAGCAAGTTCCAGCTAAAAGTAATTCTGCAGATGCTCCTGGCTGGGGGGGGGAAGCGTTCGCTGGGTCCAGGTTTGCAGGGATGCTGAGGAGCCAAAAGAGTTTACAAATAACTAAACTATCCACGTTTGTTTAGGCGCATATTTTAATTTTAATTGTGGTGAGTTCTGTTTGCGAGATGCAGGGCAGAGGAAGAAAGCCCCAGTTGGGATGCAGAGAGGGAGCGGAGCGAGGGCGTTGGAGCTCGCTTGGCTCAGCAGCTCGGCACGATTTGGGACAGCCGTCCCCTCCCTGGCACAGCCACCCCGCGGGAGCGTCACCGGCTCCCCCCAAAGTGGGGACACGTGGGGACACGGCCGCAGCTGAGCCACTCACTGGTCCTGCTGCCGGCACTGGGACCTTCCCGCAGGAAGGCACTGGGGTTTTCCATGCCCAAGGAAGGGACAGAGCCCAGAGCTGGGGCAAGGGTTGATTTTTTTCA